ATGGAATATAGCAGGTACTCACTTGATTGCTCCTTCGATAGAACCATGAGGTGAACACGGTGGACGGGCCAACTATCCTGCTTCACAAGAGGAGTGTAAGATGTTTTCATCAAACCAGGAAAAATGAAAAAGGCGATGCTTGTATAAGCACCCAAAGGAAAAAAATAAATGGAGTAATCAGTTCATTACAAAAAAAAAAAAAATAGATCAGTTCAACGGGCCTAACAACCATTACAAGAGGCAGGATTCATACAACATCAGTGCCACAAGGGTGGTCCTTGGAAGGGTTCTGAGAAGTATCCTCGGCATTTCTCTGCACTCTAGAGTGGCCACTGTCAGCAACATCCTCCTTGGTGGCTTCGTCAGTATCCTCGAGCTCAATACCCATGTACTCATCTGGTACATCAGGTATTGAATCCTCTTCGCTGGGACCCCTGACAAGGATGGCAGGCACGTCGCCAGGAAACGAGGCAATGTCCGCCGGAGGACTCATTTTCGCCAGGGCACCAGTCAGAGCTTCCCACAGGGGTAGCTGCTCAAGGCTCAACTTTATTAAGACCTTCACCATGTCCTCATGCATGGTTTTCTTTGGGTTCTTTATCAGGAGCTGCTTAAACCATTTGGCTTTGATCGGCCTGTCCTGGTCGAGGCTCCTCAAACCTGTTACGCTAACCCAGTGCGCTCCGCACTTGGTGGCAACCAAGTTCATCTCCTCGAGTGCTGCAGCCATTCCTCCTGTAGACAGCATTTTATACATGAACGCAGCACACCACTGGTGAAGTTCCTCTTTCGAGATGTGCAAACTGGCAAGGAACTTCATCTTCTCCTCCAGCTCGTCATACTTGGCTTGTACCAAGGTGATCTCGACCTCCTTAGCTTGGACCTGGTGGGCCTTCTCCTCGATCGTCACCACCTCAAATAAAGCTTCATCCCTCTCAGACCGAGCTGTGACCAGGTCTTCTTGCAATTTCCTCAGTTGCACTAGGTAGGCCATCAAGGCCGCGCTTATCTACACCAATGTAACGCATTAGGAACACATTGATGTGCTACTCATTTGTGAAAAGCATCCATAACAGCGGGAAATTCCTTACCAGTCTCAGACTATCAGCCTCATTCAATTGAGCAGCAAACTCCTCGAGGACAGGACACTCGATGGTCGGTGGGTTGCTGAAGGTGTGCACAGCCACAGATGGGCCTCCCTCGAACAGTTGAGGAGGCAAGGTAATTGCCTCTCCCTCGAGGTGACCCTTGCCTTTCTCTGGCGCAGGGGGAACAACACTTAGCCCAGCTTTCGGAGGAGGATTTTGAACGGTCTCCGTAGCAGGGGGCACCGTCTCGTCACCTAGTGCTGCGGTTTCTTTCGAGGGCGCATCCGTTCTGGCCTTCTTAGATTTCGCCCTATCACTGGCCTTCACGATCCTCTTCTTCTTTTTCTTTTGAGGGGTTGCGGCAATGGTAACGTCCTCATCTGAATTCACAATAGTAAAAGGATCTTCGTCACCAAACAATCGAGAACCAGCGTTGCTTGACGACATGACCTAAGAACAAACAAGAAAAAAGCAAATGATTAATACCTTGGTTTTCCCCAACAGGGGTTTCGAAAGGGATTCTGGTTGAAGTCTTGACATTAGCATCCGCATTGTCATTCTCCTCGGTAGACACAGAGGGCATGTAATATTGTACTTCATTCCATTTAACGACCTTAGAATATTTCAGAATTTTCTCCACGTCTGCATCAAGCCCCTCGATGCACTTATCGTCTTCTTGGGTCCACTCATCCTTTATTGCTCCAAGACCCTCTGTTTCTTGATGGTTCCACGACAGGCAGTAGTTCTTGGACGCCCTTACAAACAAGAAGTCCGGCTTCCATTCTAAAGAGCCGCCATACGCCTTGACCATCTTTTTAACGCCGGATCTAAGGCGTCTCTTCACAATATACCAATCTTGGAAAGAGGTCGAGGCAACAACTACTTGGAAGAAGTACCTCCACAGTATTAACCGAGGTGTCACTTTTACATGTTGGCATACTTTTGCAAATCCCAGAACAAAAGTTATTAAATTTGGGGTAAAACGAGCCAGGGGAGTCTTATAGTGCTGCACAATCTCCTCGAACAGAGGGAAGAGGGGGAATCTAAGCCCTAGATGCATAAATCGGTCATACAAAGTAATTCTTCCCTCAGGAGGAGAGTTGGCACTCTCGTTTCCTAACGGGGCTCTCGCCTCTAGATCTGAAAGAAGGTCATATCTCGTTCTAATGTTCTCTACCTTATCAACAGAATCTATAGTGGATGCAAAGTCATCAACAGTTTTTCCTTCCGAATCTCTAACCATGATTCCGTTACAAATCTACCCTGACTACAGTTTGAAAAGACAAAAACTTTGAATGAAACCGGGGATAGTTAGATCTGAAAACTTACTATGGGAGGAGGATATGACCACTCGCCTTTCGAGTTGTAGCTTCCCAGTGTTCCTTCGAGTTCCTAATAGCGAATCCTATGGTGATAATGTCGCTGGGGCAATGTGTTGGTGGAAGCTTGAATATTCCGACGAAGACAGTCGGAGCACTTTGATAGAGAGGAGAACTTTAGTTTTTGCAAAGGGGAAAGAAATGACAAGTGAAAGGGGTATGATAGAGCCTTCTCCTTAAAAATAAAAATTATTCTCCCACGTCTCCCTAATTACAGCCTACGATATGACAGTTAATGTGAATTTCAAGGGATTAATGATGGTGAAGCTGTTGTTTGGGAAACGTGCCCACTAATGACGCGCGATTGAAATTTTGGGCGGGATTAGGAAACGGGTCACCTTCCCGGGTCAAGACCTACCCGCTGGTTGCCCTTGGACTTCTAAGATCGAGAGTTGTGCATTTGAGTCGAGGCTACTTGACACGTTACTCAATAACTAGCTGAACGAGAGTGGCCTATCCACTCTCGGGTTTGTCCCAGGTAACACTTACTTTGTGCCAAGCGTTGTTTATTTTATACAACTAACACTTGACAGGGGTACTTGACGAGTCCATATCCATCACCGAGACTAGACTGGCCCATCAACCAAAAGAAGAGTCTAACCGAGACTCTTGAGGCGGTTTAGGTTCCCGAAACCTAATAGAATTCAGGGATTTCCCAGGTATTCTCATACCTATAAATAGGGTTGCTCACACCACAATACAGGTACGCAATCTATAGCTTAACATACTATATACCCAAGTATCGAAGTGTCTACTCTCGGGAGACCCTCGAGGCTGTATTTTGCAGGAAACCCTAGCCGGAGTTCCACTACCAGACCGGCGGCGCGAAACCAAGCTTCGTCATCTCTCTTACAAATTTGGGAAAGAGCAGACTCAATTTTGTTTCGCACTTGTATTTCCAACAAAATTGATGTTTCATGGTGTAGGGCTGATAAGGAAACTGTTGAAAGAGTGAAATGTGTGATGAATGAGTTTTCTCAGACTACAGGGCTGACAGCTAACCTCAGTAAGTCACATGTGTATTGTGGTGGTATAGATGGAAATTTGAAGGAGGAGATTATAAGGATTACAGGATTTAGTATGGGCAATTTTCCCATGAAGTACCTGGGAATCCCTCTCTCTCCTACAAAATGGAGTAATTTGGATTGTCAGATTCTAGTGGATAAAATTACGGCCCGGATAAAATGCTGGACTTCTATGCATTTGTCCTATGCCGGGAGGGTGGTACTGATTAACGCAGTTTTACTTTCCATGCATACATATTGGGCCACAACATTCATGCTGCCAAAGAAGACCATAACGCAGGTAATTAGAGTTTGCAGAGAGTTTTTGTGGGGGAAAAAGGAAAATGGCAGGGCGTATTCTCTGGTAGCATGGGATGACATCTATAAACCTAAGAAGTATGGTGGTTTGAACATTAAAGAACCAATCACTTGGAACCAGGAAGCATTGGGGAAGCAAGTGTGGGATCTCGCTACCAAAAAAGACAACTTATGGGTGAAATGGTGTCACGAATACTACATTAAAGGACAGAGCTTCTGGGACTATCAACCAGCCAAAGGGGCTTGCTGGCATTGGCACAAACTTATGAAGATAAAGGAGAAATTGAAAGAAAGAGTTAGGCATGGAAACTGGGTGGCAGGAGATCAGAGGGTGTATACAGTTCAAGCAAGTTATACTAAATTGAGAGAAGTTGGACAGAAGATGCAAGGCGTTGCTGTTATATGGAACAGATTGAATGTTCCAAAACACAGTTTCATATTGTGGCTGGCTTTCAGGAAACGGTTACTGACGACTGATAGAATGCTGAAATTGAGAATCATTAATGATCCTATAACCTGTGGACTGTGTAAAGAAGAAGAAGAGAGTTTGGAGCATCTATTCTTTCAATGCATGTATACATCTGATCTCCTGAAACAAGTGACAGGTTGGATCCAGTGCAGCAGTATTCCAGGTAATATCATTCATTGGAAAAATAAAGTTCCTTACATTTGGAAACAGAGTAGTTGCAAACAGAGAACTTTGTTTTGTGCATTGGCAGCTATAGTGTATAGTATATGGTGGTTAAGAAATCATCTGATGCATTGGGGAAATATGTTAGATGTGCAGTTGGTTGTGGAAAAGATTAAACAGCAAGTTAGAATGAAGATTGCTGGTTACTGTAAAAAGTGTAGGCTCAGTGAAAAGATAGCTAGAAAGCATTGGTATCACAGTATGCTAGACTGAATGTATAATAGTGCAGGAGACTTGTTTTGTGATGATGCATTGACTAAATGTGTAATAGTACAGGAGACTTGTATTGTGATGTTGTTTTGACATGATCAATAAAAGTTTACCTTTCATAAAAAAAAAAAAAAAAAAGAAAAGAACAAGAAAACAAAAGTCGTTTCTACTATCTTACTAATGGGCCGAATATGAGGGCCACTTAAAACATGAAATGCGCAATCTCGGCCCATCGGTAATAAAATTGAGCCCATACATAATCACAATAAATATTTATTTATTTCGAGTTGTAATGGTAAATCAAGTTTCTTGCTTCTTCCCGTCTCCCATTCCTCACTTTCTAGGTTTCTTGTGAACTCAGTTTGAACCAAAAAAGCATTCAACATGGTAAATCGATCTCCCGAGATTGTTTCAATTCTTCTACAGCTTGCGGTTTTTCGTACTTTGATGTTTCTGTAACTGATTTGGTCTGTTTTGTTCTGTTGCTACTTCGATTACAGGAAGGGGAAGCGAGTGGGAACAGCGCACTGGATTCGAAAATCGAAGCTCTACTTAATGTAGAGAAACAGATGCGGCAAAACGGTGATGTTGCCGGAACGCGGGATGCCGTCACGGAGATTCTCCAGCTTTGTTTTGAAGCTCGCGCTTGGAGGACCTTAAACGATCAGATTGTTCTTCTTTCCAAGCGCCGCGGTCAATTGAAGCAGGTATTTTTACTTCTAATCGCTTAATGCTGTTTTCTTTTTATACCAGAATTGGCAAATTTCGGTTTAATTGCAGTTTTCCAGGGTTTTGGGGATGGAGGGTTTGGAAATAGAACATTTTAGGGTTTAGGGCTAGAGACTTTTAATTTGAGTGATTTGGTGGTATCTGTTCCTAATTGCTGTCAACAAAATTTACAGAATTTTTTGAAGCTTTGCTATTTTGGTATGTTTTTGTTTGCATCCGTTTTTTTTGAATTTTGGGGTTTAATCAGGTTCTATACAAATTCTGTTAAAGAACATATCCAGAACCTACATTTATTGGGTATAGTTTAGTGTCAAAGTTTCTATTGCTTTTCTTCTGTGGGTGTTTTCAGTTCTTTTGATAATGTTGCACTGAGTCCTTCATTTCTGGTGCATCTGCTTCAAGTTAGTTGAATTAATTTCTTGAGATTGTTTTCATTAGATTAATGTCTTAAAAAGTTTGTTTTTATAAACTCAGTTCCTATCCTTTAGGTTTTCTGACTACATTTCTTAGATGCCCTGTTCTCAATTTTATTTTGTTGTTTGCATCAATTTTCTCTTAAATTGGCCTCAATCAGTGTTCTAGCTGGAAATTATGTTAAAGAGCATGTTAAGAACCTGAATTTAGGTGGTATAGCATCAAAGTTTTCTATTGCTTTTCTTCCGAGAGAGTGTGCGGTTTTTGTTGATTAAACTTCCACTTAACTTGAGGGAAGTTGTTCATATCTGGACAATTCAAGTTTGTTGAATTCACCTCGTTAGGAATGTTTTCTAGAGATTGATTTGTTAAAAGGGTTAATATTTCAGTTTCCATCCTTCTTGGTTGAAGCAATATTTTCTTGAAGCCCTGGAATAACAGTTTTTCTGTGACTTCTTTTCTTTTGCAGGCTGTTCAGGCTATGGTTCAGCAGGCAATGCAATATATTGATCAAACGCCAGACCTGGAGACTAAGATAGAGCTTATTAAGACCCTTAACAATGTATCTGCTGGAAAGGTGAATCAATTTCTGACATCCCTACCCCCTTTCTCTGGCTCCCTCTTTCTCTCTGCATATTTGAGTTTTTGTAATGCAAGTCGAAATATCATTTTGATGCTTACTGTTCTTTTTGTATAATTTAATAGATATATGTTGAGATAGAACGAGCTCGCTTGATCAAAAAACTTGCAAAGATCAAAGAAGAGCAAGGGTTGATTGCTGAGGCAGCTGATTTGATGCAAGAGATTGCGGTCAGTACTTATGACTCATGTGACGAATGTGATTCTGTAAATCGGGGGGTCATGTGTGGTTGTTTTTCATCACAACAACTGAAATTTGATGTTTTTGGGTTTTAGGTTGAAACATTTGGGGCGATGGCAAAAACTGAGAAGATAGCATTCATTCTTGAGCAAGTAAGATTTTCTTTAAGTGCTTCTTTTGTCTCCGGTGGTTGTTGATGTTGTTTGCAATGTTCATGAACTCAAAATATCTGATCTTGCAGGTTCGTCTGTGTCTAGACCGCCAGGATTATGTTCGTGCACAAATACTCTCACGAAAGATTAGTCCAAGAGTTTTTGAGGCTGATACCTCAAAAGAAAAGAAAAAACCCAAAGAAGGTGAAGCTGTTATTGAAGAGCCTCCGGCTGATATTCCAACAATCTTAGAGTTGAAGCGTATCTATTATGAGCTGATGATACGGTATTAGTTCTTGTTTCATTTTCTCATTACACTTTCCTTCCTTCCACTACTTGCTACGCGAATTTGTTGGTTCTATTTTTCTTTTTGCTATCTTGGATTTTAAATATGATTTTGTACCATGGGGATTAATCCCCCAATATAGAGACCTTTATTTAGATGTAGAGATTAGAACATTGAAATGTTTATACAATGGATTATATTGTGTGTATTTTGAATGCCAAATTCCAAAGAAAATGGAAGTTAACTAAGTGGCTCTACGTAGTTGCCATGTTTTATTGTAACTTCTAATGCAGTGGAATTATTGCTGATTGTTGTTGAACAAAGTCATGTCTTTTGCGTCTTTCCACAGGGTTTACAGACTTGTTAGCAAAAGAGACTATAGTTAGTGTAAAGTGTACAAGTAAAGAGAAGGTTTAGGAACTTATTAGTAACCAAACAGCCACAAATGAAGGAAATATTCTGTCTTTTTAACTTCTTTACTAATTTTTGGAGTGCATTCTTGACCTTCTGGCTATATGATTATTGTAATGGTTTGTAAGATACTTCTATTTTAGCTTTCCAGTTCTGTAGGCAGGTGTTGTAATTACTGTGGATTGCTCTGTTGCTGTTTATTGAGCCCCATGGAATATCTTGATGAAAGTGCATTTCAATCCTATTGTTCATATATCAACAGCAAACTCAGTTTTTCAACCATTATCAGTGCCGAGTAGACCTTTTTGATGATACTATTTTATCTCCATGTGTTGCAGGTACTATTCTCACAGCAATGATTATCTTGAAATATGTCGCTGTTACAAGGCAATATATGATATCCCTTCTATTAAAGAAGACCCTGCCCTCTGGATTCCGGTAATGAACACCTGATAAATTCCAAGTTACATATTGCATCTCTTTATATTTGGGTTTATAGAGTTCTGCATTTTAATCTTTTTCTTCACTATTTCAGGTGCTTAGGAAAATATGCTGGTATTTGGTTCTTTCACCACATGATTCGATGCAGTCAAGTCTTCTTAACTCAACGTTAGAGGACAAGAACCTCTCAGAGATACCTCATTTTAGGTTACTTGTCCCATATCCTTTATATCTCATCTTTTCTCCTACTGCCCTATATTAAAATATATTATTTGCAACCTCTTGAATCTAATAGCATCTGTTTTTGTGATAAGGCTGCTGTTGAAGCAATTAATTACAATGGAGGTCATCCAGTGGACAAGTCTCTGGAATACATTTAAAAATGAGTTTGACAACGAAAAGAACATGCTCGGTGGACCATTGTCTGATAAAGCTGCTGAAGATCTTAGATTGAGAGTAATTGAACATGTCAGTCTTTACTACATATTTTTATGAACAGTTCCTTGCCTAATAATAGTGAAACATTTTCAATTTCCTTGAGTAACTTTTATACACTTTTTACATTTCGGTTCCTTCGACTGGCTTTATAGATTTGTAATCCCTAATCTATAAGGATCTTTGCCCTGCAGAACATCCTTGTTATCTCAAAGTACTACGCACGAGTAACCCTGAAGAGACTTGCAGATCTACTCTGTCTTAGTATTCAGGTTGGTTCTATTCTTGTACGACGTTGTCAGTCATACACACACCTTTGTTTCCTTGAATTCAGGAGTTACCTTTCTGTTGCTTTTGGTCTTGGCTCGCCTTAGATTAGAGTAGCATATAGTCAATTGCAATGATTTTATTTTAGTTGCACAACTCCCCTTCAGTTATTTTAACAAGGTTTTCTGCCTTGTTCTTATACCCTTGTAATCTTTATTACTTTCCCTTGTACTAAACTTCTTGTGACGTGATGACTAAAACTTGAAATGGGTTGGCAGGCAGAAATTAAGTTCCGAAGTTATATTCATGCATGATATCTTTATGCATTCCTTGATTCAACTCTCAACCTATAACTAGTGATCTAACTCTAATAAGATAACAGTGTAACTGGTGATGCAACTCTAATAAGATGATAGTGTAACTAGGGATCTAACTGTAATAAGATGACAGGAACTTTAGGATGAGGATTAACTTGCCATGATTGCCTAAATTACATGTTTATTTGTTGTCATGGACTCCCAGTTCTCATTTTTCCTTTTGCATTTTTCATGGAAGTTTTATCTGAACTCATAAAACAATTAGACCTGCTTGCCACCTTTTTCTGGGACCTAGACAGGTCTTACATGACATCTGTTTTCCGCCTATCTTTTTGGTTGGATTGGTTTTGTTTTGTTTTGCATTTCTTTTCCAGCTCTCACGCCGAAAATCAGATCTGTGTGGACCCTGGTGTTTATTGTTGGATTGTGATTTGTGTCTATGAGTCCAAAGTGTACATGATGCAGCTCTTTCTTTTTCCTTATTTTTTTCCCGTATCCTATTCTCAATCTTATCATCCTTGTTTGCACTCTTCAGGAGGCTGAGAAACATTTGTCAGATATGGTTGTCTCCACCGCACTGGTTGCAAAAATTGACCGGCCATCAGGTGTGGTCTGTTTCCAAACTGTGAAGGACAGCAATGACATTTTAAATTCATGGTCCATGAATTTAGAAAAGCTTCTTGACCTCTTGGAAAAGAGTTGCCACCAGATTCACAAGGAGACCATGGTTCACAAGGCTGTCTTGAAAGCTTAAATACATTCTGATGTCATTTCTTCCTCGTAAGTTTTCATTGCACAAGTTTTGGTTAAGATTGTGATACTCGTGACCTTATTTTATATCTCCACTTTCATGTTATATCTCACTGATGGCATTCCCTTAAAATTAGTTTGGGCTACATTGTGATTGTGGTCGTGATTCATTTGCAACCACACTGATTATGTTTGATCGGACCAGCAAATGGGGTTGGGGATGCTTTTGCAAGTGGGCTGCCAGAGATACTTCTGTTATATGTATTTCAGTTATTCATGATGTCTGTGTTGCCTAAAACAAGCTTTATATGCTTCGGCTCTTAGAATATACTCATCTCCTGCACTTGCAGTCTTGACTCACTAAGTTTTTGCGGTTTCATTCAATTATGATTAGTCTTGCAGACTACTTCGTGTTTCAACATTCTCTTCGACTCCTGTTTATGAAAATTGAAAACAAATATTCAGATATGCAGTAGAAAATGATCTTTTAACGATGGGATGGATTCGCTGGGCATATATGTCTTGCTGCTTCATGATACTAATTTTCGTCTACTACGTTCAGCATCTTTGCGGTACCTGTTTGGTCAATGTTATAGAATCATGTAAAATTTTACAGCATCATTGGGCACAACTGGGTTTGGAACTTTGGAACTTGAATTTGGATCCTTGCTTCTCATCATATTGGGAAAGTGTAGTTTGGTTATAAGTTTAGGTTTTAGATTTTCATTACTTAGGTTTTGGTATGCGTAGTTGAATATCGATAGGAAACGGGTTGAAATTGACCGATAAGGAGTGACATGTGTAGGATTGACGTTAGTTTTTGGGGTTTTTTTTTTTTTTTTTATGAAGGTACATGATTTCTTAACGAACTCATGACAAAAAGTAACTCGGGAAGATTAATACGATAATACACCATTCAGAACGGTACCTAATCGGGAAGGTTCTATCCCTCCAGTTTTCGCGATGCTTAGTAGCCGAAGACAGTCAAAAACAGGCCAATTTTTAGCTCTAAGACAGTCAACATGTCTGTCACCAGGGTTGGGTTTTCTTTTATCCGAGCCTGCCGCGAGATGTTTCGGGATATAGTCAGAAAAAGCCGAATAATACATAGTTATCTGAGCCCTTCAGCATAGAACGTCGGTCCGGCATGTTTTTGGAAAATGCCGATGAACTTACGGAGTCTCCCATTCTGTGAATTTCTTGGAAGTAGTATTTTTCACAAATTGTTTGTGGCTTTAGACCTCAATCTACAAAAGCATATTGGCTCAAATTTATCCCACGGAGTATCTGGTAGATTATACTTACTCCGTTCTAAAATTATTATCAAGTTTGAGTTTTTCTTTTTAGTTTAAAATGTACTAAAAGTGAAATCTCAAACTGGACAATAATTTTGGAATGGAGGTGATTTCTCCAGCGAGCTCATGGCCTTGACCAGTTTGACCCATTCTCGCAATGTGTAAATTCTAATTTAGGTTGTCTCATTTGTTGTACGAAAAATATCTGAAAATCAAATTCATAAATACTACAGTTTGGATTATTGCGAGGCTTGAGTAATTATGTATAATTTCACATCCTTTTATGTAAATTAAAAAAAAAAAAACTGACAATCAAATGAACACAAATTGAATGGATCTAAGGTTCTAATTCATTAACTGACAATACTTTTTTTCTAATGAATAATTTTTTATTTTTTATTTTTATTTTTTATGTATCTCCCTGATTGCATACAAATACTAGTATTTAAATACTATCTCCCCGCACTTTTATCAGTAGCATTTAAATTGCAAAGAAACTATTCCGATTGCGACCGAGATACATTGTTGTTGTGATATTGTCTCTCGGTATTATTTATGGGGGAAAAGAAAAATATCGCATAATGATATTTCTACCTGCTGAATTGCAGCAGAGTGCCCTAAATAAGGTATTCCCTCAGGGTATTTTGATTTGTCTTAATTTCGCTTAGTTTATATTTTTAATTGGAAAAAAAATTAAAAATATATTTTTACATTCGTTGTGTTTTCCTTATTGTTAAGAAATACTTTTAAGGTTTTATTTGCCAATTTAAAATGCGTGGTAGGCGAAATTTTATGACAAATCAAAATGTCAAACATGAAAGCCAAAAACTTGTGATTCATTTACCCAAAAGGAAAAAAAAAAAAAAAGGAATTTGTCATTCAACATATGCATCATACTTGTCAATTGAGTATGATTTCGGTCCATAAGAAATTCTAATCAACAATACTTAAAATCACTATAACTTTTTCTTTTCCCCCTAGAGAAAAAGCCAATGAATTCTTGGCCAAAAAAAAAAAAAGAAGAAACTTGAAATAGAAGTGTGTTGCACTAGAAATCATCCAGAGAAAGACGGATTATATCCCCAAATCCGACCAAAAATTGGAGGGAAACCCAGCATCAGCAGTATGCATAAATGTATGGGAAACCACAGGATCATCATCATAATAAGGCATTTGACGAGAAGGTAATGCTGGTTGAGAAACAGGACAAGGAAGTCTGGAGGAAAAAGAATTAGCCTGAAAACGTACCTGATCCAACAAACTTGTGGGATATGATCTAGCAAAATTCTCATTGGAATTCATAGAAATCAAACGATTAGAAGAAGCATTGATGGGATTCTGTGTTGTCAAAGTCTCATCAGAATTCATGTAAAGCAATTGATCAAGAGAAGTATTGAGATAGTTCACTGAATTGGTCGGATCCTGTGTGGGCAAATTACTATTCGAATTCAAATAAGGCAAATGATCAGGAGCATTTTGGTAAGGATTGTTGAAAGAATTGTTGGGATGCTGTCTAGCCAAACATTCATTAGAATCAAAATAAGGGAAATGATCTAAAGACGCATTAGGATGGTTCACAGAGTCGGTGAAAATTTCAGGATTCTGAGTGCTGGAAATTGGTTCTGTAAATGAGGGAAAAACACAGGAATCAGGATAAGGAAAAGTAGATGTTGAATTGTTGAAAGAATTGTAGGGATGCTGACTAGCCAAATACTCATTAGAATCAAAACAGGGCAAAGTTGGTTCTGTAAATGAAGGAAAAACAGAGGAATCAGGACAAGGAAAAGCAGGGGTGGAAAAGTCAGTCTGAAAACAGGAGTCCATTTGAGAAGGCATTGAGCTAAGTTCCTGATTCAACAAACTTGTGGGATGTTGTGTAACCAAATACTTATCTGAATTCATATAAGTCAAATGATCATAAGAAGAAACATCGGTATAGTTGGAAGAATTGGTTGGGTATTCAAGGTTCTGGGGGTGGATAAGTGGAACAACAGAGGAAATGGGATTTTGAGAGGGACGAGAATTGTTGAGGAATTTGGATGGCAATGATGAAGAATTTGAAAGAAAAGACGGCAAAAAAGTGGCATTTTCAGGTAAACTATTGCCTCTGGATTTTAGTGTTGCTTCGTAATAGGCTCCGTCAGCTGCTGCCTCTAGTGTGTCAAATGTGCCTGAAATTACTCCTCTGTTTCTTCTCTTTGGCCCTCCTCCTGAGTTGGAGGAATCCGTGATATTGTTGTTTGCCCCTCCTCCAGTTGCTGTACTGTTGGTTCTTATGAGTGAACTCTCTCCACCTGTTAAAAAAAATGAACAAAAAATAAGAATAAAATGTGACGATATAAAAGTGACAAAAGTACATTTAGGCTCTAAATTTGAAAGTGTTACGTTTCTTTAGAGACATGTGTTCTGGCTTTTATGTTCCAAATATTACAAATGGTGGTACTAAATCTCATGTCGGAATATGTAAAAAAAAAAAAAAAAATACTCCCCATTGCCAAAAAAATAGACCTATCTTGTAAATTTATAAATTATAATAAAAATAATACATTTTACGATTGGTGGATTATTTTTCTGGAACGAGGAGAGTGAAAACTATTGCATATGCGACATTAGTACCGACGGTTCTAGCTTTCAGATGAACTATAAGAACGTAATAGTAAATGTTCAATGTCTACGACACAAAAACATGACTACCAACTTACCATGAAAATTATGATAATACGTTTATATTAGTACCAAATAAAATAAAACAAAATAACCCATTTATGAACGCCAATTGGCTGCGGTCCATATAAAAACAACATGAAAATTGAACTGTAGGGAATTAAGGAAAATCTCCATTTTTCTTTTTCTTCCTACAAATTAATAGAGATCATATTGACATAGATGAAAACTCTTAACCATACCTGATGATCCTAAGACCGAATCAACAGAAGATAAATCATTGTATGCCCTGAGAACTTCGACCGGCGAATATTCATCATCAATATTATTATTATTATCACGTCCTCTTTTCTCTCCAACACCGCCCCATAAAGAGGGAGGACTAGAATCATGAATAAAAACTGGAAATGCTGTACTTTCACCATCTAACTCATCACTGTCGCCGTCAGCAGCCTCCATGGCTTGGTGATCACCGGCGCCGGCAACCGCCCGAGTCAGAGCCGACAAAATTGCTGAGTTCTCTTTCTCTGGATCGAACCCAGAAATAAACATTGACGAAACCGACGTTTCCAAATCGTTATTATTCCTCCCTTCATGTAATTTAACTTCTCTTCCTCTTCTTCTTCTTCTTACTCCTCCGCTTGTTCCCTGATCTCCTGAATTCGCCACCTTCAGCAGCACACATGAAACTTAGTTAGAACAGACATTGTAAACCCTTTTTTTTCTTTTTTTTTTTTAATTCCTTTCAAAATTAACTATTGAATTTGAGGTTGAAAACATGGTTGATGTTAACTTGAGTTATAAGGTAAAAAAGCTGAGTGCAAAAGCTTTGTTTAGACTAACCTTTGACCGGAATGGGGCCATTGAGAAAATGTTTGAAATTTATTGAAAAAGTGAATAATAATAAAGAAGAACTATTACTTCATGTAAAGACTTATGATCTGCCATCATAGATGATGATGGAAGAAGAAGAGTGGATGGATCGATCCTTTTGTCTTGATTTTTTGACACAGGATGCGTATAATATATATATATACTCTCCAAAAGAAATCAAGAGATATTTCCTTTTATTTTTTCCCTTTTTTTGGACGCCAAAAAGGAGAATTTATTGAGGTGATATATGCTTGACTTTTTTGGGTATCGGTTATAACCTTAATTAGCTATCAATTAGTCAATTATAACCATTAATAAGTTGTCCACCGCGAGAAGTGAAAGAAATCTGATTTGGTATCTAACACGGGCAAAGTATTTCGTGACACATAAATATGACAAAAAGATTTGGTCTAGTGTCAAAGTATTAATCATTTCCAATTTCCTTTCTTGTTTGAGTAGTAAAAATAAATATTATGAGTTGGCATTTCCAAAATCCTTGCGATCTTATCAAAAAATTTGTCTTGATTTTATTCTTCCTTCCTTTTCTTTTTTTATTTTCAAATAGTTATGTCAAATTAGGGTTTCCGACGGAACGGAAGAGCAGCGGCGGTTTCGGAAGGGGAAGAATGATTAACGGCCCGGCCAATGTTTACGACGGAGACGGAAAGCAGATCACTGAAACGGCAAAGAGTGGATGTGATTTCCGAAAGAGAAACAGATGTGGTTGTTTCCCGGAAGGAGGCAAACTGGAACTCCGAAACTCGATGAACCTATTAAGGGTAAGAATCCTGTAGCTCTGGAGTCATTTTTTGTCCTAGAAATCTCTTGACAAGAGCTACTTTCCGTCACGAAAATGATAGTCTGATTAAATTTTTTGCTGTTATTAGTTATTACAATTTCTACCAATAGTAATATTTCATGTTTTGTATTATTTCGTGATTGAGCGAGTATGAGTTTTCGAAATGTAACTTATAAACCTAGCACATTTAGGGTTCTACCATATACAATGTAATGCCGTACATAGAAGCAGCTGTATGTCTGAAACATGCACCGAAATAAGTTGAACAGTGGATGAATACATGTTTGATTAAATCAACTAAAAGTTTGTTACTATTTCATGTCTTAATTCCGGTAATGATTGACTTACAAAAGTCTTTCACATCTTTTTCTCGAACCGGGGGTTTGGTTTAGGGGGTAGGGGAACAATACAAGAAACCTTGTGCATACCCACTCTCCTAAAATGATCGACTCTTTTGAAATTTTTAATTTTAGTATCATTACATTAACGCAATTGGATTTTTAGAGATCGAGCGACATGATTTGATTAGAAAAGATGCAAGGGCATGTGCCACATTAATATGTATTAGTAAAAAAAGATTTATATAATGTAATTAAAATTTAAATTTTTTTTACTAAATAGTAAAATATAAAAATTCCTAACTTTTAAAATTAAAAGTGGCTTCTCACTAAAATCTTATCCTTTTATAGATTATAATTTAAAAATAAATTAATCTTATCTTTTTATAAGATCTTACTAAATATATATATATATAATATATATCATCCAATTAAATCGTGACTAACAAAGAAACTAAAAGCCCTTTTTACATTTTCTTTTATTTTAATAGATAATTAATTTTAAAGAATATTTAATTTTTTTTTCACCGCTTTAAACATAGAGTATTTTTTTAATTTCTATTTTTCACAACTCACAATACGAGATACGGGATGCACATGATAAGTATAGTTTGCATTAAATGGAAAGTCTCAAATTGGACAATCATCAAACACTTTTTTTTTTTTGTAATCTTCCCATAAAATCAACTTTTCTTGGTGCCAAATTAATTATGCGGACGGGAAAATTTGTGCGTAATAATAATGTAATTTTACATGCCACAAAACAAGCGTATTGATTATCTCTTCTTGGTGGGCCGTTTGGCCAAATATGAGCATCTAATTAATTAAATTCTTAGATGGAGGAACCGAGGAAGTATTAATAATAAGAGATAGTTTGCCTAGATCTGAATAATTAAGTGGGGAGAATTTGACTACTAAAACTTGAATGTGTAACTCGTCCAAGATGACTACTACCACTGAACCATTCAATATGAAAGCAGTTTAGTTATTAAACAAAAATAATGGTGGCCGAGAACATAACATATATATATATATATATAAATGATCCCAATTTAATGACATGATGACTAAGTTTTGTTTTGTTTCTTTTTTCTTTGGTCAAGAACAAATAGTTTTTTTTTTTTTAATTGCATCTACAGAATTGCGCTCTGTACGTAGTTATTAAACCCTTTCAATACGATCCAAACACCAAATTAATTAAACCCATGACTGCAACTAATTAATTGAAAGTAATCAAATATTTAGAACTAGTTTTATGTTGCATGACCATTATCACGCATTATGGATTCACCTCGGGTTCATACTATTATCCGTGTTGTTTTTCAATCTAATATGTTGTTATTTTGATTTTCTTAATAATTGTATGTAAATGACCCAAATCAATGGTTTACTGGCAGCCGCGACGCGCGCCGCTCAAAAACTTCCATTTTTAACAGCTTTCTAATTCTCTCCAATATCTGTCTCCGGGGAATCGTTTTAGCATCACTTCTTTCTCCATTTCCTATGCCTTACATGATTTTCTTCAAAATTACACGGCGACTCCCCCAAGTATGGATTAGAGACTGGAAATGTTTCTGTGTTTTTTACAGACGCAATTTTGGAGATATATTCTTCGCACAAAAAGTTGTTATTAGTCTCTATCTATCCTCCGTCGATGAAATGGATCCTAGATTGGTTAACTAGAATTGTGTCAGCTCCTTTGAGTTCCTTGCTAAATAATTTCCGGATGCTCTGCTCTCTGCCACCCACAGGAATTTTAACATTCTGTTAAATCTCGCTCTATCTCTCTCCATCTTTTCGGTAAAAGTTCATCTCTGTTCAAAGTTCCATGGCGATTAGGGACGTCTGGGCTGGGTTCTTGGAACTCAGGGATGAGGGATCCATACGCGGAGCAAGTTCATGTTTACTGTGGAAGAGTAAAAAGAACAAGAATGTTTTTTTGGTGTATATTGTGGCACAATCTATTATGCACATTGGTCCAAATTTATTACAACACAGTTATTGTATTAATACTGATCTCTCCAATGAATTGATGTCACAAAGAATTCGAGGGAAACCCAGCATCAGCAGTATTCATAAATGTATTGGAAAACACCAAGACCATCATAATAAGGCATTTGATGAGAAGGTACTGCTGGTGGAGAAACAGGACATGTATGTGTGGAGGACAAAGAATTAGTCAGGAAACTTGAGCCCATTTGAGAAGAATATGTGGATGTAATCTCCATATAAACACACCCATTTATTTAAACTTAAAAGAAAGTATGTGCCTAGGCTTCTCCAAGCGTATATACTGGATCCGCGCCCTGATAATAAAGAACAAGTACTCCTTTCATCCCAAAAAAATAATCCACTTTGAGTTTTGAAATTTGTACTAAAATAACAACAATAACAACGTATCCAGTATATTTTCAACTGGGTTGGAATCTAGGGGGTCAAGATGTACGCAACCTTACACATGTATTTTCAATACAGAGAGGCTGTTTAAGAACAGTCGATGTGGACTATTTTTTATACTAAAAACAGTATAAAAATGAAAACTTAATGTGGAATATTTTTTTGGAACGGAGGTAGTATTAGTTTATGAAAAGATTGTAAGAACAGCCACAATAGATGATGGAGGAAAAACAGTGGATCGATCCTTTTGGACCTAATATAGACCGTCAAAAAGAAATCAAGAAATATTACTTCCTTTTATTTTTCTTTTTGTTGGATGCCAAAAACTAAAATTCTATTGAGGTGATGAGATATGTTTGAACTTTTTGAGTTTCGGTTTACAACTTTAACTAGCTATCGATTACTCAATTATAACCATTAATAAGTTGTCCACCGCAAGAAGTGAAAGAAATCCAATTTGGTATTTAACAAGGGCAAAGTATTTCTTGTGACACGTTAATATTACAAAAAGACTTGGTCCACTATCAAAGTATATTAATCATTTGTATTTTGCTTTCTTGTTTAAGTTAAAAAGAATATTGTGAGTTAGCGTTTCCAAAATCCAACGATCTTATGTAAAACTTGTATTGATTTTATTCCTCCTACCATTTCTTTTTTTAAAATAAAATAAAAAATTAGGTTTTCCGACGAGGACGGAAGAGCAGTGAGGTGGCCATGGCTATGGCGGCTTCGGGATCAATTCACTGAAACCGGCCAATGTGTACAGAATAACAGCGGAGTCGGAGGCAGATCTTAATTCCCAAAAGAGAAGCGTATATGGTTGTTTCCCTGAAGGAGCCAAACTGGAGTCATTTAAAAAAGGAAATGATCGTTTTATTTAAATTTTCATTTTTAATACAATATTTAGTGAAAAAATAAAATTTTGATTTTAATATATTATTTAATAAAATTAAAATTTTAAATAGGATAACCATTTAGTGAAAAAGCTGGGAGTATGAGTTTCGGAGGTTCAGATTTAGGGTTCTATACTACAATACCGAAACCTTTTGAGCTTTAAGTATTTAGTAAATTAAATTAATAAAGAACTCTAAAAAATAAATAAATGAAGATCTCTAAAATGTCAATTTGGTGAATTTTTAGGGGAAAATATTTATTATCGATCTTAGAATACTCTTTAAAATTCGGAGCACAGGAAAGCTTCACAAGTTCATCCCACAAAAACGATCCACTTTCTTCGTCCTAAAAAAAAAAGTCAGAATCGAGTTTTGAGATTTATATTATTTTTAGTATATATTTAAAAACTCAATATGAATGATTTTTTGTTACAAGATAGAGTACAATTTAGGGATACTGTCTCTGCATTTAAATATTCATGATACTGATCTAATAACGTCGAATTTATGGTTTGTGTCATTAACTGCATATCTATTGAGTTGAAGTCAATTGTGGAGAGTTTAATTCATTACTCCTATGAAGAGCTCATTGGTGTGGAATCAATAAAACTCTCTGTTTTGATATTTTAATAGCCATTCAGAATGGAATGGACTTCTATTATGCCCTTCAGTTCTCGAGATGCTACACTACATCAACTTGGAAGGTCAGAAACAAGCCAAAATCTGTTTTGGGTTTTAGTTTTGACATATTCGAAGCCAGGATATATGGGTTTGGACTTTGTACTATTATTGACATTAACCCTCGTGATGTTTCGTTATTTTGTTTTTGTCATCAAAGAATACGAAAGAAGAATGGTCGGTAAATGCCGATGACCTCACGGAGTCTTCCAACTTGGATTTTGTGGGCTCCTCTTCAACCTAATTAAGACTATCTTTTTCCCCTTTTTTTGTGGCTTTTGACCACGTATTCTTAGAGGATATAAGAGACTCAAATCTTCTACGATTAAGCAACATTAGTATCAATTTTTTAGGTTAAATGACCATTATTTTCAATTAACTTTGCCGGATCAAATACTGATTAAGCCATATCGATTCCAAGTTTATTCAACGCGATTTGTTGGAGCTTATTCCTTAAGTGGTTGAACCCAAAAATAGTACTTCCTCCGTTCCATAATGATTGTTCAGTTTGGATTTTCATTTCTAGCTTAAATTATATTAAAAGTAAAATCTCAAAGTGAATAATTAATAATTATGGGATGGAAGGAGTAGAAAACCAACTGCATGGATGAGATTGTTCGTGTATAGAACTTAGAAAATGGAGTTGTTATCCATATATGAAATCGCAGCAGCCTTTCTAGAAGTCAACAAAGTCAATTGAGTGGATTGCAAGAACTCATTTGTTATTAGTATTATAGAGCTTAAAAAAAAGCCAAGAATCGATGTCATAAATTACAATATTATGCATGGGAGACATGATAATCTACAATATCGCATCATTTTGAGAATTAAAAGTTAAATAGTACAACAATACAAACTGGATGTTTAAAATGAGATGGATGTCTAAAAGACAACAGACAGTTAAATGAACTAAATTTGGAATATTGATTCAACATTTTGGATCTATTTTTCCCAGTCCTAATTTCCTTATTCGATTTTGCGGTGATTCATTTAGTCACCTCCTACCTGATCAATTTCTTAACTAGAAAAAAGAAATACTCCCTCCGTCCCATAATTATTGTCCAGTTTGGATTTTCATTTTTAGTTCAAATTGTACTAAAAATGAAATCTTAAACTGGACAATAATTTTGGGACAGAGGGAGTACATTGCACAAGAACGATTTTCCCAACTGAATTGTCTAACCAAAAAAAAATCAATTAAAGGCCACTATATTTTTGCCTTTTTCTTACATGTATTGAGGAACCAAAAGGCCAAGGAAATCTGGCCACAAAAAAAAAAGGAAAAAAAATACTACTAGAATTCAAATGTAGCTGCAAATATATGAATCGGAAATCATCCAGAGGAAGACGCATCATATCCCGAACCCGACCAAGAATTCGACGGAAACTCAGCATCAGCATTGTTCCTGAATGTATTTAAAAACAGAGGATAATCAAAATAAGCCATTTGAGACGAAGGCATTCCAGATGAAGAAGAAACAGGATAAGGGAAAACAGAGGATGAAGAATTAGTCTGAAAACTGGAACCCATCTGAGATGATGTTGAACTAAACAACTGATTCAACAAACTTGTGGGATATTGTCTAGCCAAATACTCCTCCGAAGCATTGGGATAGTTCAGAGAATTGGTATGAAATTCAGGATTCTGGGTGTGGATAATGGGTTCTGTAAATGAAGGAACAACAGAGGAAATGGGATTTTGAGAATGATGAGAATTGACGAGGAATTGGGATGTTGAAGGCGATGAAGAGCTTGGAGAAGGCAAAGATGGCAAAAGTGTGACATTTTCTGGGAAATTGAGTTTCGCTTTGTTTCCTCTGAATCTCAGTGCGGCATCATCATAAGCTCTGGCGGCTGCCTCTGCTGTGTCAAATGTGCCTAACCATACTCTTGTGGCTTTGACCGGATCTCTTATTTCAGCCGCCCACTTCCCCCATGGCCGCCGCCTTACTCCTCTGTATCTCCTCTTTGGCTCTCCTCCGGTGGCGGTGGAATCTGTGATGTTGTTGTTGTTTTCGTCACCCGTCATTTGAGCTGCTGAGTATGTGTATAATCCTCCTCCGGTTGCTGCAATATTGGTTCTTATCAATAAATTCTCCCCACCTGTTGAAAAGAAAAGAAAATGAAATAATTGTAACAATGGACAGAAGAAAAGATGGGAAAAGTAGATTTAGGCCTTTTTTTTGGAGATGTTACATTTTTTATTTTTTATTTTTTTGAGATACTGATGTTAGAAATTTGAAAAGATATCAAAAATGTAAAAATGTGTATTCAACATAACTAGTGATCAAAATGAAAATTTTATAGTAAGTCCTCGTATTAAAAATATGATGAATTAGCATTCTCACAACCTAAAGAAATCTAATTTTTAAGTATAGATGTGATACGAAAACACGACTCAAACTTAACAAGTTTATAATTAATGCGAGATACAAACTATAGGATTCAATGAAAATGTTTACTTGTAAGTTGAAATGGGTTAAATGTGTTTGGATGAAAACTTTACACCATACCTAATGGTTCCAAGTTTGAACCAATAAGAGGCAAATCATTATATGTCCTGCGAACTACACCTGATGATGATTCAGGGGCTTGCTGATGATGAAGATGATGATGATGATCATAATCATTTCGTCCTCTTTTCTCTCCAACACCACCCCATGGGGAACCAGGAGATGAAGAACCAGAATCATGATGAACAACATTCAGAAATGCTGCTGCAGCACTTCCATTTCCACCATCTGCGTCATCATCGCCGACGTCGCCGCCGCCGCCGCCGCCGCCAGCCACCGCATCTTCATAATCACCGGCGGCAACCACCCGAGTCAGAGCCGACACAATTGCTGAATTCTCTTGCTCTCTATCGAACCCAGAAATAAACGTCGGCGAAACCAACGATTCCAAATGATCTCTGTCACCTCCTCTGTTCCAGCTCTTTTCATGATCTCCTGAATTCGCCAGCTTCACAAAACACATGAAACTTGGGGATTTTTTTATTTTTTTTTCCCCAATTAACTATGAAATCTGTTGGTTGAGGTTGAAAGAAGATTGATGTTAACTTGAGTTACAAGTGAAGAAAGTTGACAAGAACAACTAAAAAAGGAACAAAACCATCAAATTTAAAGCTTTGGTTGGACTGACCTATTGGGAAAAGTTGAAATGTATTTGAGAGCTGAAAAATTAAAAAAAAAAAAGTATTATTTTTATAAAAAGATTATAAAAACCGCCGCCTTTGATAGTTTGATTGATAGAAAAGTACAGTGGAACATTTTTTTGTCCTTGGGAATAATTAAGGAGGAAGCAAAGATGAGAAACAATTCTCCCTTTTAATTTTTTTTTTTTTGGAACGCCACGACTCCTCATTATTTCTAAGAAATTGTTCACAACAGACCCTTTTTTTTTTTCTAGAGTAAAATATATTAGAAATCAAATTTATTCACAAATGGCCATCCATTACAAATGTTGAAACAAATTTTGTCTCGTATTTTTATTATTCCCTCCGTCCCATAATTATTGTGCAGTTTGAATTTTTATTTCTAGTTCAAATTATACTAGAAGTGAAATTTTAAACTAGACAATAATTATGAGACAGAGGAAACAATAAGGAAGACATCATAGGCTACCGAAGTATTGTATTTTCCTTTCTTTTTTTTTTTAATTAAGTAAACGAGTTGGCATTTGCCAATATCTGTTGTGGGCAAGTGGGAAAGTGGGATTTTGCCAGGAATTGGGTAAAGTAAGAAAACAATTATAAAAAATAAATAAATAAAATTGCATGTTGCAAACCAACATTTTACTATATTTTGCCAGGATTGTTTACTATGTTTATTTGTTTATTCTGATTGGGTCAACTTGTGAAACCAACATTTTCTTAGTGGACGGTTCTTTGTATCTGACATTTTTAGGATGATGGATGGGGAATCTCATTAATCCTGAAGTCGGCCTTTGCCATTTTCTGTGTTATTTGTTTGTTGCCGACATAAGAGAATTGATGGGCTGAAAAACGTACAGAAAGGTTCTTATTCTGATCTTATTTGGGTCACAATTTTTTGGGCCCTATTTTCTATTTTGACAATGTGAATATATATGTGAATTTGACTTCCAGTTGACCTCCCAGTTGACTAATTTATGCTTATCCGTGCATGCCCAATAAATTATTTAGTTGATGATAATGAGCACATTGTTTTTCTTTGATCTTTCAGGGTGATTGATGGACTAAGATGATACTCCATCTGTCCCAAAATTATTGTCCAATTTGATATTTCACTTTTAGTATAATTTGAACTAAAAATGAAAACTCAAACTGGACAATAATTATGGGACGGAAGGAGTATTTGTTTAGGTTTTTAGTGTTACACTTGTATTTTTTTGGAAAAGGTGTTACACTTGTATTACTAATCCTACAACATCTATGTTTTTAACATTGTCTGTTACTAAAATAGTAATTAAAAGGGATGATTTAAACAGTGTTATTATAAAAGATAAGACTTTCAAAGTGTTACAAATCATGTTTCACCATAATTACTATTCATAAATCCTATATGAATGGAGAAAGAAATAAATGATCAGAAAGACACCTCATGTTAATTATTTATTTCCGCTGATGTTGCGATCTTATCAAATTTTGTAGAACGTACATTATAAAAATATTGATAGTAATACCCCAATTGAATTGCCACTTTTGAACGTGAAAGTCACCAAGGCCAAATAAAATTGCATGCCTGCGTTGACACCGTCAGTTGAACAGAACAATTGATCAATAGTGAGAAGTGTTCAATTAATAAGGATTAAAAATACGTCCCATCTTAATGTAATCGTTAGTTTGACCTATTCGGTTCAATTTCTGATTTCAGAATAATAATTTCGAATATTGAGTGCCTGATATACTATAAAAATCGTCTCTTATTATATTATTATATTTTGAGAAAAGTAGAAATAAGATACTCTCTCCGTCCCATAATTATTATTCAGTTTGAGTTTTTATTTTTAGTATAAGTTGAACTAAAAATAAAAATTCAAAATGAACAATAATTTTGGAACACAAGGAATAATAACATGACACCATAATCGACGATTAATTTTGACGCTGGCTGGCTACTTGGTTTATATGGAACATTCTGAAACAAGTTGTAAGAAAAGACAAAAAGAAAAAAACTAGGTTTAGTTGACTATCATAAAATCCTTTTCACAAGAACTAGGTTTAGTTGACGAACAAAAAGCAGTGGTGCCTAATTAGACATGCACTAATTATCAAACTCCTTTCGTCATCTTACTCTTGAGATTTGGGGTTGGACCGCAAAAAGTCAATTAATTTGATCATTACGTACGAGTACTGCATGAAAATTCTTTTCAAGACTAAAATAATTGGACCATATCAACTTGTTCATTAGCATCAAATTGTTAGGGAATACTTTCATGATAGGCAAAATAGATCACACAAGATTCATAGTGTCACATTAATATAAATAATACAATCACTAGAAATGTTTAGTAATTAGTATATTATAATATTTGCTGACATACGTATGGAGGCAAAAATTTATCACCCAGCTAGTTTTAATTAAGTAAAAGTTCGATTCATCATTAAAAAAAAAAAAACCACTATCGATCAATATATTAAAAGAAAAACAAAAAAAAAAGAAAAGAAAAGTAATCATCCATATGAATCATCGAACACTCCTTTTCGTCCTCGTTCAAAATTTTGTTGTCGCTCGGTAATTGCTTATTCCAGCAACACTTAATTTCAAAAATCCTCTTTAGAAAAATAAACAGCTTATTTCACGTCAAAAAAAAAGTCAAATTTATTATCACACTAATTAAGTTTTAAATTCTTTTTATTAATATGCCTTTTTTTCATTTTCTCAAAGGAGTTGAAATTAAAATTCTTTCAGGTTAATCGTTAAACTTGGTTGGGGAGTCTATACTTTATATGAAGTGACTTTTCCAAAAATGTCAAAGTCAAAATAGTACTAGTAGTACCTTTCGTTATTTTGAGCCCGTAAATGAAGAATAATTCTCATTCATTAAATTTTTTCAAAAGATAAATTAAATTTTAACAGTTTTTATTTTGGAAAAAAATAAATTTCACCACAGTAGAACCTATTTAAATGTGGGAAAAAATTTCATTACATACTCCCGATGAGGAGATCCCTCAACCTCTAAGAGATCGACTTATAGCCTTATCACTATACCAAAGTTGCATTCCCTGAATTTAAGCAATTTATCATGAAATGTTAACCTGATAAAAAATGCGAAAAACAAATGAGGAGTTTTTTTTTTCCCTTTTTGATTTTAATAATTTCTTTTCCTTCAATTTAATATACAGTAAGTTGTATTGCCTTCATCCTCAGCAAAAATTTATCACTTTATTGAATAATCTTAGTAGAACTAATATGACTTTTTTGGGAACGAGGAAGAGTATGAGAGAGAGAGAGAGAGAGTTTTCAAATAAAATTAACTCAATTTGCAAACTTGGAAAAGATAGGATCGATAATTCGATATTCTATTATTTATTTTGTTGTGGCTGAGAGAAAGAGCGAAGGGAAGCTGAAGGAAATGTGCGAAATTGCCCCATGCCGTTGAGAGCGGCAAACTTGATTGGCGCATGCACGTGTGTTCCATAATCCCTGCACCAGCTCACAGATAATTCTCGCTTTTGACTGACACTAGAGGAACACCAAAACGACAAGTGAGAACTTGTCAACGTTGACTTTCAGTCAAAGCTGGCCGTTTAAGTATACGCGGTTTCTTGGCCTTCATTTCTTTGGGCCTTTTCCCCAAAAAAATTAATTAAAATAAACGTAGACAAATTAAAATTTTTCATAATATTAGTAGACAGAAATATATCTCTCAGATTTCTGAAATTCGAGTTTTAATTAAAATTAAAGATTCGGATTTCGTAAATCTGAGCCTATATTTAATAATAAAATAATAAATTAAATAAATTTTGTTGAATAATAGTTTTTAAAAATTCTTAAATGAACAGTATTGTTCGGATTTTCGGAATCCAAATTCAGTTAAAAAATAATAAATTGAAGCGCGAAATATTTAAACTCAAATAAGGAGTCCAGGACCTGGACTCCTTAAATGAACAGTAGTACTCGGATTTTGTAAATCCGAGTGTACAAAAAGAAAAAAGAAAAAAAAATCCCCGCGCGAAATTTTTTAATCCAAAAACCGGAAGTTCGTAATTCGGTTTTACGTATTCGGATTTTGAAAATCCGACTGCCTTTAATTTTGGTTGGTAGAAGTAGGCATGTGCCATAAATTGGAGGACCAAACAATGAATAAAATAATCCGGAATTGACCAAACTCGGATTCAGGAAATCCGAGGCCACGGTAATTTGGATTTCTAAAATTCGAGTTACTTACGGACTCGGATTTCGTAAATCCGAGCTTAACGTGGTATAAAAGAAAAAAAATTCAGACAGTTCTCATTCGAGAACTGAGTTGATTTTGTTTTTGCAGCTCAAACAAAGGCGAATTGGAGCTTTTGATGCATTCTTGCCTTTAGATAAGTGGGAATCGTTATTTGAAAGAGGTTAGATTAAAAAACCATATTATTTAGTTTAGCTTTGTGTTATTTTGATTGTTAGAATGATGTATGATAGATTAGGGTTTATGTTGATTGGTTGTTTGGATGTTTTAGGTGTTGATTTTGAGGTTAGAGATGAGAAATCATAGTTGTTCATGAGATATGGAAGTTGATTTATAAGTATTTTAGTATTTTATAGGTTTTTTGAATTATGAATGGAGTATGTATGGTGTATTTGTTGATTTTGTTATTAAGAAATGATTAGTTATTGATTTTTTTTTAACAGTTATCAATGGCATGTAATGTATCATACATGCTTAATTTGTATCATACAAGCAAGTATGTGATTGAGAATGGTAGCATCAACACTTTTTCAAATATGCCGGATGATGGTTTGTTTGTTGAGGAAAGGTTGTCATATGAGGGATTGATTAGTAAGATTTGTATGACACTTGGTTGGGATCCAGCACACGTGAAACTCCACCTTTCTTTGATTTTCGATAGTCCCGGTGGTAGGCGTGTAGTGAAGATCAAGAATGATTCGCATGTAGAGTTCATGAACCGTGTAGATCCAATGTCATGTTTGGATTTATACATAGATTTGGAAGATATCACT